CCCAAAGGGTGATCGCGAGTATACGACACCAAGACGACGGTAAATGTAGAAAAAAAACTATTCAAAGGGAGTCTGATAACGAAATATTGTGCAACAAGGTTTTTTTATTATGAACGAAATACATTTTCACATCATCCTCCGACAACACAGTTTGACCGACCACTACGACGAACGAAATTATTATAAAAAAAAAATATTTTCGACAAACATATTATATTATAATATAATGATGTACAAAGATAATAATAATTTACGAATCACAAAGTATCGAGACATATTATTCAAATTAACAGGATTATGAAAAACTGCAATGACGCTGCTGTCGCAGCCGAATAGCACACAAAACGCAAAACAGCCTTGGGCCAGTTTCGCCCAAGTCGAGATGGTATGATATTTAATGCTACGACTAGTGCTTCCGGAAAATGTCATATCCTATAAAATAATAGTCTCAAGGAGTGGCCGAGGAACACGACAAATGGCGCAGAAACTTGGACACGACTCCTTTTTTTTTTTGAGCGTTAAGAAAACCCAGATCAAACGACTAGCTACATACTTTCGAAATGCAACAACATGTGCGCGTCACAACACATTACACTAGAAGCGTCGCTGTCGTCGTCAGTCAACAGATATTGTATAGGTATAGTTGGGTAAGTTGGTAGGTAGGTAGGTAAGTACACCGCACCGCAAAAACCATGTTAACTATATATAAACACATAATTGCTGTGCACTAGATAATATTATCGTACTATAATATATTCCGTACACAATCTACTGCGTAAATCTCTGGTGGCGAACACTCTGTGCGTATTATACAGCCTCTGGCCGCGGATTAACGAACCGCGATAGCTTTGATCGACATTAATAACGTCATGCGGCTGTAGTGTCCCCGAGAACATAATATTATAACATACAAAATTGATATCATCAAATCGACTATGCGGAAATCGGGTCGTTACCTATTACTTTATATGTTACATAGCCATATCTATATATTAACACAACTCGCCTACGAAACCGAAAATTGAATATATGATGTATTATGAGTAAATAGTAAGAGACACGATCGTTTGTACTTTTTTTTTTTTGTAATATATGCAGTATGCACTTTACACGTCCAACGATTATCTTCTATAATATAACAACTTACAAGATGCGTTTCCTGTCGACGAAAACACATAAAACGCATTTGTCAAACGTTGATAATAAGTACAAATAAAAATACAAATTAAACCCCTTTTTTGTTCCACGTAGAATTACATTAGAAAGCTGGAATTTAATTGCGTCTCACCACTATCTTATATTCCTACAATATTCATCTCGAACGACATCGAATTACTGCGGTGAACACAAAATATAACTCAAATAATAATAATTATAATGATATGTTTATATACCTTCCAAAAACACTCGAAACTATCATGATGATATTTATTCACCGAACGTACTATAATACTTTCTTAATACAATTGATTTAGGGAAAAAAAGTTATTTAACATGAATTATATGAATGGCAACAAATTAATTTATATACTATCTAACTTATAAAAGGAAAACAACAAAAAATATTGAAATTCAACTGATTAAAGGTAAAAAACCAAACAGATTTTAGTATTTAACAACAATTTGGAATTTTCGGTCGTTATTTATTTACTTATCTATTCTACTCGAGTGTTGATAAGATACACATAACTACAGTTTAATGAACTAACAATAATTCGAACGAATTTTGACAATAAAATTAAACCTATAAAAAATAAAATATACTATTTTACTTTATCTTAAAAATGTATTGTACCTAGTACAACATTTTTAAATGCACGAGACAACTAAAATAAAATAGTATCGATAAATATACAAGTAAAATTGTATAATTAATTTATTTGATCTATTTATATATTACATAACTAAATATATTATAATATGTATTATTATTAAAACTTATAACTGAATCTATTTCATATTTACAATAAAAGTAAATACCTCAATATGTTACATTTTGGTATTTATTATTCATAAAAAGTTAATTTTAATTGCCAACATAGATGGAAATAGAGGGACTTGAGGCCCTAAATCCTCAAAAATTGTTAAAAATGTTAGTCTACCTGAAATTTTAACGAATTTCTGTCTATGTTTCTTAACTTTTTATCCAAAAAAGTAGATACAAATAATTTTATATTGTATAACATTATAAATATATCTTAAAAATAAAAAAAAAAGATTAAAACCCAAAATATTATAATATTATACATGACAAATGATAGTGAAAATATACTTTAAACTCAAAATAAGTAATTGAAAGTCAAAAGCAACATAATATGGCATAACTTATTCTATCTAAAAATGTTCAATATTTTATATAGCATAAGTGATATTCATTTTTATCTATGTAAAAAAATAATGTAAAATTAGATAGCTATTAAGTATAAACAACTAATTCAATACTATAAAAAAATTGAATTTCAAGTTTTTTATCTATGGATATATTTTTAAAAGAAGTACAAAATTAGGAATATTCTTACTTATAAATGTAAATATAAAATAATTAAATTTAGCATGACATCATTTTGACTTAACCAACACGTTTTTTATTTATAAACAGACGAAGAATCCCCTCGGGGAGTGGATAATTTTTTTCTGACGAAAAAAACATCGTTCTATGAGGAATAATTTTATCGAGCTTTAAGAAGACAGAACACGATGGTCGAATGACTGCGCATAAAAAAATATATAATAGACAATAGTTTAATATTAAATTACACTAATAATATAATATAGAATGCATAATGAAATAATATATAGATTTCCATTTATTTCGTCAACAGACTTTCGACAACTAGTTGAGTGTATTTAAACGAAGGTATTTATAAGGAAATAAAAAGAAAACCCATAGAAGATTCTAAAAAAAAAAAAAATTTAATTTAATTTATTGTTTGCGATAATACTTAATTACACATTTTCGCATATCGCTAATGAACTAAATACACAAGGAAGCAAACGCTACGTCGACTGTTTAGTCATGAGCCGGTCATAGTACGGACTACGGATGGGCGTACTGTACTCTCTTCGCGTTTGTACACAGGAAATTGTTTTTTCAATAGCTGACAAACGATTTGTAAATAAATAATATTCACCACGTGCAAAAGTATACATTTCAATACTTTGATTGTTCGTAAAGCCAATAAATATTTTACAATATTTATTGAGCAAAAACTATTAAATTCGGTAAATTACGGGATTTCCTCGTAAAGCCAACGAAGGGTGAAGGACTGGTAGCGCGAAGAGGCACGGTAATGTATTATTTTTCTCCAACTTGAGAGGTTTTAAAATAATTTTTGGATAAGCCCGTAGCACATATTATTCATTTTTATACCAGGTTTTCCAAACTCCAGTAAAACAAAAGCTTCGTACGGTAGCCGTATTATTTTTTAGTATATATTTTTAGTCATTTCCAATTGCAGTGGCACTAAAACTATTTTAAAACGGGCAGTCTAAACGACACGACAGAGGACAACTTACGTTGACGACATTTTAAAACGTTTAAATCGTAAAAAATAACACATGAAGTGCAATATTTCTACATATTTTTCAGTCCCGATTGTGTTTTTCCCATCCCTATTATGATACTATAATAAATGACAAACGAAGCAAATAACCATAATAATTATAATTAATAATAACGATGCGAATATTAATTTTATAACGTAGCGTAATGTTATAATTTATGGCAATGTCACTGCCTAGTATTTGACATATGTGTTGACTGTATTCTTTTACACTCGAGGCACGACGGAAAACAATAATAATAATAACATGTAAAACAACGTTATGTGGTTATATATTATACGAAACGAGCGCGTTCCCATTTTAAGGCGACAGTCTGTGCGTTCACGGCGGAGCGGGGTGCGGCATCGAAGCCCACTTGTTGCGCAACGCGCGCTCCCATGTGTGTGGAAAACCCTTTCGGGGACAGTCCGGGACGGACGGCAGCGATCCACCGGTTGTGGGCCCGGCACCGGGCACGGGCAACTGTGCGGTAGAGTCGACCCGGGGCGAGGCCCTGCCGCCGTCCCGGCCACCGTCACGATCCCTGCGCACAGGTGCACAGATCGCGCGGCGGCACCTGTAGAGCACGTGGGCCGGCGGTGTGGTACCACCACTGCCGGCCGACGCCGCCGCCGCCGCATTCCGGTCGTGAAACCGAATCCGTGCGCGCACATACAAACGCACACAGACCGACGGCGGCGGCGACTCGTAAATGGCAACGTCTTTGAGCGCGCGTGCGGCCTTCAATTGAGCTAGCTCGTAAACACATACGCGCGCATAAAATTACTGAACACGCGAGACCAAACCTTTTTTTATTTCTTCTTTACAATATTAGGCGAGCGTGTAAAAGTGTTTGGTCCAGAGGAGAGAGTGATATCCCCCGGACGCGTTTTTACGATTATGTTTATTAATTTTTATTTTTTTTTTCGTCTGCGTGGACGAGACGGCGGGCAGTCGGGAATCGTGAACGACGAAAATAGACACACGGGTGTGTATGTGTGTGTGTGTCTGTGGAGTGGGATACGTGGAGGGTAAAACGGGAAAAACGAGATACTCGCCGCTGCCTCCGCCGGCCAGCAGCGAACCCGTGCAGACTAAGAAGTGTTTATCGGTTGGCGACGAAAAACGCGACCTACAAAAATGAAAATTAAAAACGCACGCTGCCACCGCTGACACTAAAAATCAGCTGAGATCATTTCTTATCACTAGGCCGCGGCGGCGGATGACGGCAGTGTCAATGATGATAATAATAATAGAGATATTATTAATTAATCGCGCGACGCCAATGGGCGGACAACGGAATTACGATTGTATGTCTTAAACGCTTTTTCGGTAGAATCGGAAACGATACCACGGTTGCGAGATACCGTACGACAAGCTAAACGACGATCGGTTGTGGTGTGTATAAAGCAATGCGGTAATAAGCTAAAGTAAATCATAGTGATATTAGTAATTACCTTCGTCAATAAGCCGCTCGACGTGCATAAACATGTTTGGAAACGCGGTGATTTGTTTGCGGTCTTTAAGCAATTGCGCCAAATAGTCGGCGATGCTCTGCGTGTTGACCGCGTTCATTTCCGTCATTTTCATGGAAATTTTGTCGTTTGACGACGTGTGGAGGACACCGGTGATGGTGGTCGTTAGGCAGTTCACAGATTTTCTCCGGACGACTAGATCGGTGGCGGAAGAGTGGTTTGGATCAGGTACCTTTGTGTAGATATATCAAACGAAGTTTGTTAACATTTTTCGCGTTTTACTTGAACGATGGCGACGACAAATAATACTACACCGCAATACGTTATTGACACGATGATTTATGCTACGTTTGAGAACGTGTGTGAATGTGTATGTGAGTGTGTGTGTATGTGGTATTCAGTATTTTGATACGGACTAGTAATAGACGGACCAACCGTGTTATCTGTAAACGCGCGTCGCACTCGTCGGTTTTATATTATACTAATACTATACGATTTCTATAATTATACACAAGCGTGTTACAATATATGAACAATAAATTATATTGACGGTGATGATCGGTCGACGTTTGTATTTTCTACCTACAGGTGTATGGCGAGAGGAGAAAAAAACGAAAAACGGAATACGACCGATGGGAGTAGTTTTTTCTCTCGAACTGCGGACGCGTATTGGACTGCGCACACGATGACGAGTGCTCTTTTAAACTAACCTCGGCCGAAGCCCGTAGGTCGGCCGACGACGTTTCAGCGACGGCGCATGCGCGACGCGATGGAAAGAGAAACAGTAAAAACAAAACGAGACGAGAACATCGCCACCGCCGCCGCCACCGCACTGCTGCGCGCTCCGTCCGTCCATTCCGTTTGTGTATTATTATTTCGCAGGGCAATACAAACACCATATTTGGACTTAGCGCGACGCGACCGGACAGCCGGCCAGCACTTTGAGCAGCGGAGCTCGTCACCAAAGAATTTAGGATTTCTTCGACCGGTTCGCTTTTCCGGCTCTCATGATATTGAGAGGTTTTCCTATACCCTAACAAATCTATCCTTTCTCAGACTATAAATTCTAATTTTCAATGAGTAATTGAGTTTGTGTCATAGGCGCGTAAATTGGAGGGAAGGTTTCAGGGGACTTAGCCTCCTCAAAAATGTGTATAGCCCCCTATATTATGTATTTGTTTTATTTATAATTCAGCTACTACTACTATTTAGAACTTGAGAAAATTAAGTAAAATTTTGATTAAGCACAAGCTACACTCGGGCAAAGTCGGGTAATTCAGCTAATTTATAATAAAATTAGAATGATTGAATTAATAAACTTGTAATAACATGTAATATGTTGACACATTTTAAATATAATAAATAAAAAAAAAAAAAAAAAAAAAGAATGATTGAGTTACATTAATATCATATAACAACAAATTTTTCAATCTATATTTCGAGCAAAGTTTTTATGAGAACCATGAACTTTATAATATATTGGTTAATATTTAATTTTATATTTTATATTTCTTTAGGTATTTCTTTTAATTCATTGAAAACTGAAATGGCCATCGCAAAAAATTGTATAATCCAAACAAATAGTACTTTAAAAGCATTAACAGCAAATAACTTAAAGCTTATTTTTAGGGCTATGAATTTAATGCACTAAAAAATCTTAAAAAACGTCAAAAAATTCAATAAAATATGCACTTAAAATGCCAAAAATTACAGTATAAAATACACTTAAAATAATTTTTAATTTAATTTTTATATTTAAATTGATATTATAAGATATTATAAATTTATTAAGTTACATTTTACATACATAAAAATATGTTAATTTAATAAAACCTTTTTTAAAAAATTTTTTTATGTAATTATATTGAAGATGTTAATTAACAGAATTTAATTAAATATACCGAAAAGTGAACTTAAAAAGGAAAATATGACCTAAAAATGCAAAAATGACCTATAATTTAAAAATGTCAAAAAATGCAAAATAAAAGTTTTATAAATGGATTCATGATTACATAATTCAAATTATGTACTTACAAAGCTACGTTTCACAATCGCCAAAAAAAAAAAAAAATGCACTTTCCTACAAATTCACAGCCCTACTTATTTTATATGAAAATATTTACCTAAACTTGTTTTTTAATTTGTATAAAATATCATTAACATTACCAATTAGTTCCTCCACGTGTGAGAGTAGCTTCTCTGCTATACGCCACATAAAAACGTAGTTACAGACGTCTATGTTAGAAGATAGATTCAATCAGGTATCTATCTTGTATATAGAAAAAATTTATATCAAAAATATTAACAAAGAATTCTTAAGAATTTTGCATAATATGAACATAAATAAATAATGTTAAATTATATAGAAAAAAAAAAGTTATTAATAAATACAATAAAATATGGTTTTGTTAAATAAATAATTTTGAAGTATTTATATACATCTTCTAAAATAAATGTTACAATTAAATCATACAATTTATAAGTAGAGGGTGCGGGGGCGAAGCCCTCCGTAGGCCTATTTTATGTTTAAAAATTTAGTTCCCCATTTAAATAAGCCAAATTTACGCCTATGATTTGTGTAATTAATCATTAGAGTTTGCAGCGGTAGCGTGAACGGGGTTAATTTGATGCGTCACTGAAAAAATGGTGGGTTAGTGAGTAGGTATTAAAATTTAACGTTTGTAGTTGAGTAAAAGTTAGGAACTTATTTTAACATCATCGATTAATTATAAAATATATTTACAATAATCATTTGTGAATAGGACAATAGATTTTAAAGATGCTGTAAAATTGCATCAGATTAAGCTATAACTATTAATATTAAATATAGTTCCAAAAAACGCATTTATCAGAAATATTTTCAGTATCTTATTTTTTTTTTTAATATTTTGGTGTTGATATAAAACGTGGGAGGGTGTTGAAAATTTTTTAATGCGTCACTGAAATACTAAGTTCATGCCGCCACTGAAAATTTATAATATACAATATGTTCTTTTAGTAAGTTTATGATTAGAAGCCTTTCCCAATTCTCCTCCCCTTAAATAGTCTCCAAACCCAGTCCTGGTTATGAGGTGTAGGTTTACTTACTGTCATCAAATTTCCCGTTTACCAGTAGATGAGTCCATGCCACATTTACACACATAGTAGCGTACTTAGGATTTTTTTTTTTTAATGCAATTTTGACTATTTCCAGACTTCACGTTTAAACAAAAAATATTATATTCTAGATTTCTAGCATTTTCTTGTAGGTGCTATAATAGTTAATTATAATAATATATTATTAATCGTTTTATGGAAATTAGTAAAGATGTATATGTTATTACTTATTAGTAACGTCTTTGAGTAAATCATCACGTGATGGCGGTAAATAATAAATGTGCTTTCATTACTAGGTATATATCATAGTTTATGAAAAATTAAAAATTATACCTAAGGGAATATAAAAATACAAATTTTAGTTTTAACCATGAATGACAAGATATAAAACGAAAGGTGGAGGATATAACACCCTCGTCATTAATTCCCTGAACACGCCCATGTAACTCGCATGACATGTGTGACAAGTCTGCACCAAATACATAAATTCGCAAATAACAATAGTACACGCGTCCGGTGTTTACAATTTGGCCAAGTATATACCTATAATTTTAATTTTTATATAGTGCGCACGCACGTTTTGATAAAATCACGAAGACAAAGACCGTGGGCCCGTCCCATATAATGATTTGGTTACATTATTACACTTTTATTTTTTCTCTACGCAATCGTTTTGACTGGTAGAAGCCTACCTAAAATTTATGATTTAAATGCTGTTTCTGCTGCGTTCTCAATCCATTCCGATTACGAAAATAATAATAAAAATACCTACTTACACTTATTATGACTTCATTGTTTGAACAGTACACGCACACTGTATAAAACCTATTGTGGTGTGACGTAAGTACAATATAAAGAGTAAGACATAAAATTAAATATTAATTAAAAAAGCATTCAAATACAACAATAATATATTATATAGTATTCTATGTTCTGTGAACGAAATAGAACTTGCACAAAGGTGTCTCGAGATTATTTGTCGTCACTCGTCTGATATATGCTGATTAAGTGAGTTATTAGCCTTTAAAATGATTACGGGAAGTTTATGTTTCATAAAGATTTCTTTTGACTTTTGTATTACTATTATACCAAATAATAATCTTGGTTTCTTTATACGAACTTGTATAAATTTTAATAATATATTATTTGTATTTTTCAGATCCCAATAAATTAAAATATGCATCCTTTATTTGGTCTTCTATTAGAAGATTTCTAATAATATAGAGGTAACTCATAATCTCAAAGCTATTCAGAATCGTTTTCCTCGTTTTTTATCATTTACATTTAAAATCGAACATTCATGAAATTTCGATTATAAGATTATAATGGAGTATTATTTTATTTCGATATACAATCGTTGAATACAAGAAGAAGTAATCTTGATTATTCATTTTTTTTAAACTATTAAATAACTCTACAGGTTTCCCTTATTTATTAGAACGATTAAATTTTCGAATTCATAACAAATCTAATAGAAATCAAGAAAGTTTTTTAGTTAATAATGTTTCTAAAACATACTTAAAATTATCACCTACAAATATACTGATGACTATAGGAAACACTATGGATATTAATTTAATTTATTTTTAGTTAAGATTTATGTATCACATTTAAAAAAGACAATCCACTGTTTAAATATGGTTATTGAATCATTCAAATTTTAAATATTAACACACCACTTATGTGATATCCTGCTTCGACTTTATTAATTTATAAAGTATATAATATGGGTCACAAAGGACCAGTTCCCGATTATTGAATATTTAAAAAAAATATTTATATGAATCAATAAAAAGCTAGAGAAGTATATTATGTACAATTTCTACTATGTGGCTATTGTTACTATAAGTTATTTCTCACGTTGTATTTAATAAATAAAAATATGAAAAGTTAAAATGTATACGATTTTGTATCATAGCATTTAATTAAGAAAATTTTTAACGAATAGGTACTATACAATTTATTAATCAGCCAGTGTAAAGAACCAATTTTTTTTTTTTTTAATACGGAAAACGTCACTAAAATTTTTACATATTGGTACAACAACATACATAAAGTCACACTCCTGTATAAAATATTAAAATCATGATTAAAACAGCCAAGTGTACCTGTGTAAAAAAAACAATAAGTACTATTTAAGTATGAATAAGTATAAATATGGATTTTTTTAAAACTCACTCAAAATGAAAATAATATACATAGTGAGTAGTGAAAGGGACCGACCGTAAAGATAAGTAATGTATCCGCCACCAGCAAAGTACCAAAACGAGATTAATACTTTAAGTACACGCCTTCAGAGTTACCTCTTACTTTATTATATTATTTTTATTAAACGCGGGATTTATGTATATATAATTGACGTATAATAGTTATAATAGTAACATATTAAAATAATATAATAAAAAGAAGGATTTCTATTGACTGATATTTTATCAATATTATTATTACTATACACCTTTGATCGTAAGTGATCAATGAATTAGTGTAGGCGAGTGTTAAACGACGAGTGATTGAGTTAACCAATCAAAATTATTATCGCAGAAGTATTTTTACACTACAGGAGGTCTTTAAAATAAAGAAAATGTAAACTATTAATCATATACTTAATGTCGTA